GTATATTTTGTCAGGGCTTTTTTGTCGTCGCTGTTTTGTCAACGCTTTTAGCCAAGAGGTCATTTTTTAAAGCTCAAATCAGAAACTGGACTCCATAACCAACAGTGAACTTTTCCACACGAGGAAGTGTTTAAAAAACAGATTGATCGTCGGTGACTCGGTCTTCACGAAAACATGGTAAAGTACAGCTAGCATTTGACATCATCAGTTTATTTCTAAACCAAATCTAGAGAATAAATTCACATGTTTTGTTGACGTGTCGATTAGATCGCGACCATCTGTTGCATGAGCAACGTTTGATTTTAGCTTACTTAAAGCCCGACTCTCAGAGAAAAGCGTCAAGAGTTTAGAACACAATTTCTAATCTGATAGATGTGACAGCTGAGCTTACAGACAAACGTTGTTTTCTTAAAAATAAATTATTTTTAAAGCAAAAATAAACGCAATATTAAACATTATATAGAACATCTGAGATCGATATAGAAATTGACATCTGAGATCGATATAGAAATTGACATCTGAGATCGATATAGAAATAGAAATTGACATCTGAGATCGATATAGAAATTGACATCTGAGATCGATATAGAAATTGACATCTGAGATCGATATAGAAATTGACATCTGAGATCGATATAGAAATTGACATCTGAGATCGATATAGAAATTGACATCTGAGATCGATATAGAAATTGACATCTGAGATCGATATAGAAATTGACATCTGAGATCGATATAGAAATTGACATCTGAGATCGATATAGAAATTGACATCTGAGATCGATATAGAAATTGACATCTGAGATCGATATAGAAATTGACATCTGAGATCGATATAGAAATTGACATCTGAGATCGATATAGAAATTGACATCTGAGATCGATATAGAAATTGACATCTGAGATCGATATAGAAATTGACATCTGAGATCGATATAGAAATTGACATCTGAGATCGATATAGATATTGACATCTGAGATCGATATAGAAATTGACATCTGAGATCGATATAGAAATTGACATCTGAGATCGATATAGAAATTGACATCTGAGATCGATATAGAAATTGACATCTGAGATCGATATAGAAATTGACATCTGAGATCGATATAGAAATTGACATCTGAGATCGATATAGAAATTGACATCTGAGATCGATATAGAAATTGACATCTGAGATCGATATAGAAATTGACATCTGAGATCGATATAGAAATTGACATCTGAGATCGATATAGAAATTGACATCTGAGATCGATATAGAAATTGACATCTGAGATCGATATAGAAATTGACATCTGAGATCGATATAGAAATTGACATCTGAGATCGATATAGAAATTGACATCTGAGATCGATATAGAAATTGACATCTGAGATCGATATAGAAATTGACATCTGAGATCGATATAGAAATTGACATCTGAGATCGATATAGAAATTGACATCTGAGATCGATATAGAAATTGACATCTGAGATCGATATAGAAATTGACATCTGAGATCGATATAGAAATTGACATCTGAGATCGATATAGAAATTGACATCTGAGATCGATATAGAAATTGACATCTGAGATCGATATAGAAATTGACATCTGAGATCGATATAGAAAATGACATCTGAGATCGATATAGAAATTGACATCTGAGATCGATATAGAAATTGACATCTGAGATCAATATAGAAATTGACATCTGAAATCGATATAGAAATTGACATCTGAGATCGATATAGAAATTGACATCTGAGATCGATATAGAAATTGACATCTGAGATCGATATAGAAATTGACATCTGAGATCGATATAGAAATTGACATCTGAGATCGATATAGAAATTGACATCTGAGATCGATATAGAATTTGACATCTGAGATCGATATAGAAATTGACATCTAAAATACTATATACCTAGGTATCTGAACTGCGCATAGCGTAGCTGAAAACTTTATAGTACCTGGAAATCTGAAATAAATATAGTAGTTAGAGATCAATATAGTAGCTGGATGGCTTAAATCAGGGGTCTCCAAACTACGGCCCGCGGGCCGGATGCGGCCCGCGATGTGCTCTCATCCGGCCCGCGGAGATCTTTTTGTGCACGGAAAAAACGTGTGTTGGTGATGGCTGAGGAACTTTGCCCAGAAAAATCAAAGACAAGCCTGGAAGAAACTGGCCCCCGAACTGAAATTTGATTGTTAATGCGGCCCTAGGACTGAAAAGTTTGGAGACCCCTGGCTTAAATTAATGTAATAGTAGGAAATCTTATATATAATATTAACGGCCAGGTAGTGTGTCAGTGTGTCAGTCAGTACGTCCATCCATCATTCCGTCATCGCTATAAATTTTGGAACCATAAAAATAAACACCACATGTCGTGATTTTATTTGAATAGCATTGTCTTATTTTAAGAATTGGAATAGGGTTTATTTATGCAACGACTAACATTTTTTGATACACGGCAAAGTTTTTAATCTTTTGCACACGTCAACAAAAGAACATGAATAAAATATTAAATACACGCACTTTGCTAACACGTATTAAACGGATCAATGTTAAAAATAGTTTTTGCTTATATTCCTAAAAATAGATTCATTTTAATACCAGTGTTGAGTAAAACCAATCATTTTAATTGTTTAATAATTATGCCAGGGGAGGTAATTCAAAAAGAAAATCAACTCACACTACACGTTGCTATTTAAGTTAAAAAAATAATTCCTACTGCATTAATTATTGTATGTTAAGGCTCAAAATTAAAATAGTTTAATGTAAAAATTGTTCATGTTATTTCCTGATTAGTCGGCACAGGGTTTTATAGTTTGCTTTTTATTTCTATGATCTCTCAAAATCACTATTTTCTGTTTTGTTTTTCGGTGTTATATAAATAGATGGTTAAATTAGAGAATGTGGGAAAGGCCCTCACTGCACCCAGGAGAACGTGTTGTTCGGCTGTGCGTGAGAGTATTTTTATACACGGCCGTTGGTTTCATAAAGACATTCGATAAAGTGCTTATCATTGAGTTTGCGTTGAAGTTTTCGTTCGAGTTTGCAATCGTTTGTGTTTGTGTTTTCTTTTGTGTTTGTATTTGTGCTTGCGTTTTCGTGTTGTGATTGCATTTGGGTTTGTGTTTGCTTTGTGTTTACATTTGTGTTTGGATTTTTTCTGTTCCCAAGTTGGTACATTTCAAATAAACCGGGAGTAATCTACCCTAAACTTTCTCGAATATTCTTATATAACACTACGGGGGATGGCACCTCGGGATATAGACATGATTTTTAATTCATTTTAATTACTTAAACTTTTTAAAGTAGCATAAAATCATTTAGAAAAAAGAATTGCGCACCAAGTGAACGCAAAACAATCTATGTATAATAGTGTGGAATATTATTAATTCTTTATGAATTCACATTCGTATTTTTGAGAAATCGATAATAGCGTAAATTACTAAATCCGTTTAACGGAAATTACTAAAAATTTGACAGACGTCAGAGAATTTGATCTTTTACTTATATTTGAAATTTCATTTATCTATCTGACACAGTACTCAAGTTATATGGTTTTGGAAAATGAAAGTAGAATAAATTCCACTTCGTTTACCTGAAGTCGCTGAATAGTTGATACAGAACAACACATTTGATATAATACTTAAATACGAAATGTGATCAACCTAGCTGTAACGGTACTCAAGTAATCGTGTTCACAGACACACATATATACACACAGACATACGGACAAGATTGCAACTATGTTTTTTCCGACTCAGGGAAGTGTGAAACGTCGAGATTTGCAAAAAAAAATGTTTTTTGACACGATTACAATACTTTCTCTTTACCTCGTATACAAGAAAGTAAAAAGATAGGCCTACACCGTGGCGAAGCACGGGTATGCTGCTTTTATCAATATATTACTTGACATCTGAAATCATTATAGTAGCTAGACAAAAGAAATCAATATATTGCTGGTTAAAAAGCAAGATTAGAGGGACATATCAGCTAGAATCGATTGACACAAAGTAAAAAGAATATTTTATTGTTTTTGATACTATTGAAAACTCATTAAAACTACATGTAATGAGCCTCAATAGATTCACGTTCGCAGAAATATATTATAAATGGCTTGTTCTGCAAGATTCCGACATTCAAGCAAACGTGACAAATGATTAACTTATAAACAAGAATAATTAGTTACTATCTGTGAATGTAGATATGATAACTGAAGTACCGTGTAATGTAGGTTGATGAAATTTCATATATAACATCTTATAGTCGGATTACTATCAATTTTTCAGTGACATCCGATATCCGGAATTTGTACTTTACGATATTTCCGGTATCTATGTTACCGGTAACACAAAAGACAAAGTTTCTGGTATTTAGACAAAACTTCTTAGCGTTGGTTTGAGATATTATTAACTTGATTCTTTAAGAATTTGGTGGAAATTTAAAAAAAAAAACGAAAAAAACCCGTTAGATTTTTACACTTTTATATCACTTTAGTTGCGTAATTGTTTGTTCTGCGTGATTCTATTGTATTTAAATGTGATTTAACTGAGTGGGAAAATGGGATTTTGCTCCATTTCCAACTTCTCAAATACCGTCAGAATTTCTGAAATTTATATCATACCCTTATAAAGTATGTTCTAAAAAAATGTTCACCTCTTTGTATTTTATAACCCGATTGCACTGGAAATCCCACCCCATCCCTTATTGTTATATACAAATATACGAGAAAGGTTAGGGGGGATTACTCCTGCTTGATTTAAATCATACACATTGGAGCATATGGCACGACTTAAAATGTGCTCATTTGAATAAGCCGATTTGGAATTTACCGTCAACCAAGAACTTTAACTGTAAAATACTTTAATCCTGATCGAGAAAATCTCTTTTCTGGTTTCTATCCAAATCAGATGGTCTAATGCGCTTAAGACGTAGAGTTAAAACTTGGTGGCGATCGTACATTTTATGATACGCAGATCATATGGTGTAGAGAGTGGATGGCTATTTCTGGCATGGTGAGTAGTATTACTTTGTGACAGTTTCTACTGAAACAAACAGTGTTTTAAAACAATTAATATTAAATTGTAAAATAATGGAACAAATTTTAAAAGCTTTTATAATATTACATGTTATATAGTAAACGGATATTTTAAAATAACGAATATGACAGAGTAAGATGTGTTAAATAAAAACAGTTTTATAAAAATAGATAGCCGTTATGGGCTAGGCTTTGCTCCGTCCATTTATTGCCATGTCTAAATTTAAATTACTGAAATTGGTGTTTTTTTATTCAAAAATTTAAATAGCAATACATAAATCTATGCTCAAAAGAGCGACACGTACACTTTTACTGGATTCTAAAATTTAACTCACACATCAACTGCCATTCTCCGATAACACGGCTTGTTACATACACATAACAAGTATAAGACTCAAATACAGAAACAAAAACATAAAACTCTTGTTACTTTATTTTTCTCTCCTGGTGAACAACAACATCGTATGATTCAAATAAAATATCCAAAAATAAAACTTCTATATTTACTAGAAAAATGAAAGCCACCAGTACCCATTAAATGTAAAAAAAAAATATTAAAGAATCGCCAATTACATTAAAACTAAACCTAAAGTCTCAAGGATTTCTCAAATAAACATATAACTAAAATTCAACCTTCAGCAAATATCAGAAACAGGCTATTTTGCTCATCACACAAAAACTTTATTTCAAATCATTCTTTTATTTTCAAAAAAGAAAAAACGCTAGTCATTATCTCTCAAAGCTTAAAATATAAAAATAATATTGATATTCATATCTAAAATAGCGTTAATATATACAAACCAATAATAAGAATAATCACTCCAAAATTTGACAAAAACCCTATTAGACATTTTAAAATTTGTACAGAAATTAATATTGTTTCTTTAAAAAAACAATGTTTTTGAAAACTGGGAGTTAATGAAAAATCGTAAGGTCTTGACGTTTGTTTTAATATTTGCACATTACTTTATGATTACTTGAAATGTTTCTACCATCGTTATTGTGTTTAAAAGTAAATATTTATGAATATATTTATCCAAATTTAAGCTGAAACTAAAAGAAACTGCTGAGTCTTCAGGCTCAGGAAACTGTTAAGAAATATATATCGATTAGACAAATATTTTAACTGAAAATTTTTCACAAATGGGTATTCAGTCGGGGGAGGATATTGCCTGTTGAAAATTCCAACATTCGAAAATAAAGACAAACTTTGTATGTGTATATATATATATATATATATATATATATATATATATATATATATATATATATATATATATATATATATATATATATATATATATATATATATATATATATATACTTTCTTTTTCTATAGAAAATTGAACCTACAAACGACCGGTAACATCAAGCAGTGACTGGTCGTTTGGCTGTCTGAGCCACCATGAAGTATATTTTCTTTTTCGTCGCAGTGAACCTAGTGGTCAGCTTCCTTGTGTATATCACCATAGTGTCCAAGTGAGCTGAGACCCTTGTTTTCGAACTTTTGTTCTCTAATAATACTTTACGTCTAAGAAATAAATCTAAATAAGTTGTCTTATTCAATTTCGTGATAAATTATTCATAATTTTCTTTAAAAAAATTAATTTAAACTCCATTTTTGCACGCTGTTTTCCACAAGTAAATATTGATATGAATTATTGCTTACTGTTTAAGAAAGCAAGTAGCGCAGTGAAAGACCCTCGACGCATGAGCGTCTTTACCTAAATAACTATCCTTAGGGCAGAGGCCTTACGAAGATAGATAAGAGTATTAGGCAGAAAAGAGAGTTTGATACCATCTTGCTGTTGAGAGTTTGATACCATCTTGCTGTTGAGAGTTTGATACCATCTTTTTTTTAGCTTCTGGGCAAGCAGCACTACACTAAGCGCTTTCAACATTTTTGAGCAGAAGTCAATTGATAGCGAACTGTCTGTCAGGAATTTGACAATCAGTCATAACGAGCTGACTGACAACATGACAGTTCAAGCCTTGAGCACCACCCATCCCTCCACGTCTGTTGTGACAATGTTGCCCACGTCTGGCGTCCATACAGAAGGTGAACCACTGTACGTGGTCGCTTTAGAGGAAACGCTTGTAGGCCGACTCGGCAACCAAATGTTTATCTACGCCGCAATGCTGGGCATTGCCAGGACACAGAACAGAATTCCGTTGATCGTGGATGGCACCTTGTTGGAAAAGGCCTTTCAGTTAAACCACATAGGCAGGGTTAACACTACTGGGTAAGGAATCATTTCTCATGTGACTTTGGTTATATAACCACCTTTATATAATGATGTAATATTGATCAAATACTACCCTGTTATCTATAACTTTGAAAATAAGCATCACGACTATCCATCATTAAAAGACATGTATAAAATATGAAATCCTAAAAATAACGTCACGCTTTTTTTACCATTTTTAAATCCCTCCCCCCCCCCATCCTAACATTGTCACAAAACTCCACCCCTCCATAAAAATAATAATGAGCATTCCCCCCCTCCCTTTCAGTGTGTTGTCCTTTATTGCCGCCCATCTTGTTCCTTTGTAGACGCGCCTTTTGTTCCACTGTCGACCAACTCTTTATCAGCTGTAGATCTCACTTCTCCCCCCTAAATCCACTGTTGACACCCCCCCCCCCCTCACCACATACACATTCCATTGTGGGCCCCTCTTTTGTTCAACGCAGTGTAACAGTCTCGCCATAAGCTTCTTTCATCTGCTACAAGGATCACATCAGTTAACTTTCAACAACTTCGGTTCTCTGTTAGATTAAAAAGCTAATACTGTAGTGACAGAATAAACACAGCATTTTATAACGCATTTTCCTAAATATGTTCCTCCTTTTCAGCTGGAAAACGATGGTCCACTCAAAGCACGGTACATTTGACCCAACTTTCATGAACCTGCCTAAAATCAATGTCATTTTATACGGCTGCTTTCAGTCGTGGAAATTTTTTGTGCACGTTGAAGACGAGATTCGACGAGAGTTTACGTTCCATCCAAACATCCACGAGAAGACAACACGTTTCTACGGCAGCTTACGTCAGAATAACACGGACACAGTCTTTGTTGGTGTTCATGTCAGGAGATCCGACTTTTTAAGTGCGGTGAATGTAAACTCAGGGTATGGTGTACCGCAGATGTCATATTTCATAAATGCGATTAACTACATTAGGAGAGTAGTGTCGAACAACACAATGTTTCTGGTCGCCAGTGACGACATGGAATGGTGTAAGGGAAATTTTAACGACTCAGACGTGAAACTGTTAGAGCCGGACTCAGCAGAAAATCACTTGAGTATTTTGTCTAGGAGCGATCACGTGATAATCTCTGGAGGAACTTATGGCTGGTGGGCAGCTTGGCTCACTAAAGGTCTCAAGATTTATTTCAACGGTTTTCCTAGTCCAGGCTCAAAGCTAATTAAAAACTTAAAGAAAGCTGATTATTACCCAAAGGGTTGGATTGCTTTAGATAATTAATTAATGTTAATTAAAATTGCATGCAAGTGATATCCGCTGGAAACACTGGATGACGGCTGTTCTTTATGCTTTAAACTATTCCCACAACTTCATCCCACGTCACATTACTTATTACATACTTTCCTGGTTAGGGCTTGGTATGGCTATGGCTATGGCTATGGCTATGGCTATGGCTATGGCTATGGCTATGGCTATGGCTATGGCTATGGCTATGGCTATGGCTATGGCTATGGCTATGGCTATGGCTATGGCTATGGCTATGGCTATGGCTATGGCTATGGCTATGGCTATGGCTATGGCTATGGCTATGGCTATGGCTATGGCTATGGCTATGGCTATGGCTATGCCTATGCCTATGGCTATGGCTATGGCTATGGCTATGGCTATGCCTATGCCTATGCCTATGGCTATGGCTATGGCTATGGCTATGGCTATGGCTATGGCTATGGCTATGGCTAGGGCTAGGGCTAGGGCTAGGGCTAAGGCTAGGGATAGGGCTAGGGATAGGACTAGGACTAGGACGTTTATGCTCAGGAAATATTCTGGATGCAAAATAAAGTGATTTGACATTTGCCTTGTGTCCTTGCTTGACAGAATTCCAAGGCTAATTTCGAAATCCAATATCTATATATATAATTCTCTTCTTGAGACGTTAGAAAACACCAAGCTGTAAGCGCGCTCCCTAACACCCCCATCCCTTCATGGTCTGGTGAGCTGTGGTTCACGCTAAGTGTTTACAATCGTAGAGCCGGGTTTAGTGATGGCTATTAGGGGCAGATAATTTAGTTTGAAACGATTTTAAACTTAAGGGAGGTAACTAAGAGGATGCTGTTTTCACGGGGGGGGTGTAGGTGTTGGGGAAAGGGGTGAGTGGGTTATCGTCATCAACGAGCTAATGATAGTGTTTTAAAGCAAATATATTAAGTGGCAGCATTGGCACTGTCGAATTCACAAATTATGAATTATTGAAAAATAGAAAATAAAACAACTAAATAGCGGCGTATGATACGCCGCGGGTCGGGTCGTATTGTATATTCTGTTAGTCCTTTCTCACTTTGCTGTAAAATGTACAACTGTACAACAGGTATTTTTTTTATAAGTACCATAATGTCTATTGATAACGATTGTTAAACCAAAAAATCCCGTGTTTCGACCACCGTCAGATGAGCCCCCTCCCCTTCACTTCCCCCAAAGCAGGGGACTGCAACTACTCTAGCAGAGCAACCGTTGATCAGAAGTGGAACCCCATTGGGGATGGGTTAATGTCCTTGACCCACAATTCATATCACACACCTAAAATTCACATTCCCTCTCCTTCTTATCTGCAATGTGTAAGAAGTAGTAACGTTAAAGTTACCTCATTCATAGATAAACCGTCTTTTGAAGGAAAATCCACACAATACTACCACCTACACCCTGCCCAGACACCCTCTGCAAACATCATACTCCAAAATAGCTTCTAAATCTTGACAACTACAAGACATCACCAATAGCATCTGCATTACAATCTTATACTAGCATTATTAGAAAATTGTTTTAAGAAGTAAAATAATTAATTTATTACAATTAATTAATAAGTATGATTATTGGTAAAAATTTATTTCAGTATTTTCCAGAATTGATCGTAAATGACGTCAGTTAGTCCTAAAAAATTGAGTTATTTAATGCTCGCAGTCGTGATTAGTCTTAAACGTTTTATTAAATATTTTAAAAATCGGATGGGATGTTATTAAAATAAATGTGATTATGAAAACTGTAATGTGAGGCTTTTGTCGGGCTTTACTAAAGATTTTTTTTTTATTTAATGTTTTTGATATCTATGGTAACTAAACTATTTTTTTAAAAAAAAAGCCAAAGACTATTTTCATTTTATCACAGAATATGTACATAAACATTGCAGAAATAGGTCGAATAGTTTGTAAAAAACAATCTAATTTTTTTTAAATGGTATAGTTAAGTTTTGAATTCAGTTTACTACTAAGTGGGGTTTTCAGAAGATAAGTCACGGAGTTCCTGTCCAGCAAAGGAATATTTTGTTTACGAAAGTGAAAATTTTAGTTTATAATTTAGGCTTTGATTAAATCAAATTGAAATGAGGCCATGGGTGCAAAAAAATGTTGTTTTTTTTAAGTTTTCTGTAACCGCAGCTTTTATAGCATTGATTCTAAAAACAATAACTTTCTGAATTTTTCTTGCTTTAGCTTTTGTTGGCTTAATCGAATTTTTAAAAATATTTAAACTGGTTTCCTTTTTTTTTTTGTCCCATGCTTAGCAGTTCGATTGGTTTATTGTATTCTTCCTTGTGTAAACCGACTAGCAGCATCGCCAGACAGCACTATAATAAAATTAGCTGTAGGAAAAGCTGAAGCTGCCACAATGTGGTAGATCCAACTTGGAGAATTCGCCTAAATCCGAGTACGATAGAGAAGTGTGGTTGCGTCCCTATGCTCTACAAGCGGTCCACAGGAATGATGAGGATGATTGTGTTCTTATTTATTTTTTTGCTATTTGTAAATGACAGTTAAATTGTACAATTTCTGCTTTAATATCATTAAAATCATGTACTGTGATATAAAAATATATGTTATCATAAAACGTTATAGCTTATGTATCATTTTTGTACAAAATTCATGCATTTTTACTTTCTCGTATATACGAAGTAGCCTATAGAGAAAGTATTGTAATCGTGCAAAAAAAAAATCCAGATTTTAACAAATCTCGACGTTTTACACCTCACTGATACAGAAAAACATAATTTTGCAATCTTGTCCGTATGTCTGTGTGTCTGTGTGTGTGTGTGTGTAAACACGATAACTTCAGTACCGTTATAGCTAGGTTGATGAAATGTTATATATAAGTATTTTATCAAAATCGTAGATTCGTATCAACTATTGAGCGATTTCCGATAACCGGAAGTGGTACTTTTTCTACTTTGAATTTTTCAAAAGCCTATAACTTGAGTACTATTTCAGATAGATAAATAAAATTTCACAAGTAAGTAAAAGATCTAATTCTCTACCTTCTGCCAAATTTTAAGTAATTTTCGTTGACTGGAAGTGCTAATTTACGCTATTTCCGATTTCTCAAAAAACGCATGTAAATTTATAAAGTACTAATAATATTCCGCACCAGTGTTCCCTCTAACCTGTGCGGTTGCGCGGCCGCACAGCAGTTTTAAGCTGCCACGCAGTGATTTTATAAAATACTTATATCCTTTTGATAAAATACTAATATATGAAATTTCATCAAGCTAGCTGTAACGGTACTCAAGTTATCGTGTTCTCAGACACACATACACACACATACACACAGACATACGGACTAGATTGCAAAACTATGTTTTTTTTTTCTGACGCAGGGAGGTGTAAAACGTCGAGATATGGAAAAATCTCGATTTATTTTTTGCACAATTACAATACTTTATACTTTGTACACGAGAAAGTAAAACTGAGTGTAATAACGTTATTATTAGTGGTGGGTCGGGCGGACGGGTCAATCCCCGTCCAGACCCGCATGAATGATTACGAAGCGATACATTTTATTTCTCAGTCACAGCTGAATGCGTGCTTAGCCATGCGCAGCAAATCACACATTCAGCGGGTAGCGTTACATGACCCATGTCACACGGAGCTAAATATAGACCAGTGTGTCGCCCTAGTTGCACATTATCCAGACACTAATCCAGTCAGCATTACAGCACACTCATACGGCAAACACTGCAGCAAAATAATCCAGTCGACTGGTGGATAGCCGGATTATGGGAGGTTCTGTATGGGCTTCTGCCATGCAAAATAACAGAAAATATAGTGCAGTACTTTTATTTAGTACAGAAAACATCAGTATGCAGAAATATGCTGAAAGATGTATATATACATACATATATATATATATATATATATATATATATATATATATATATATATATATATATATATATATATATATATATATATATATATATATATATATGACTTCACTGTAGGTTACATACAACCCCGCCCTCTGTAGGCTATATACGACCCCCCTAACGTAGGCTACATATGACCCCTACCCACCCTGTAGTTATATATGATCCACCCCACCGTCAGTTGACCGTCCCTGAGTCCACCCAACTCTGATGGGTACCTAACTCACGTTAGGGAAAGTAAAGGGCGGCTGGGCATAGTGCTGACCACACAATCTCTTCATATGCCGAACTCTACTTCACTTGTCCTATGGACTGTCAGGTTTCAAACGGGAACTTTACTTTTACCCCCCCCCCCCCCCACCGTAGGCTACATACGACCCCCTAGTGTAAGCGCCCTCTTTCATAGGTAACCTGAGACGGTAGCTTAAGATTGAAGTGCCGAGTCAATGAGAAATATAACAAGAAATGCGGCCGGCCGTCTACCGGGTGTCGCACAAAAGGGGAACTTAGACACGTTTTATTTTTTAGTTTGTCTTGTGTCTGCATACATGCAGATCTTGAAACATTTTTACTTGGATTTTCGTCTCGTATTTAAAATATATATAAAGATAGCATACACAGATTTTATACACATAGTTACTACTCAGAGTTTTTATAACAGTTTTTTTACAAACAAATATAAACTACATGTGTGCCAATACCACATTGATTTTTCTGATGAAAGGATAAGAGAATAAAAAGGTACGTTTAGCTAGTGAAAATGTAGCATTTATTCTGTGTTAGTAATAGACAATGTTCACATTAAAAAATTATAAAGGTTTCTTTAGCCCAGTATGATACAGATGTACGAGCCGTGTATAGTAGCCCATAAGTGTATAACACATTGAAGACTTTTTAAAACATTAGTTTGTGGGTCAGGTGCATTGAACGCTTTAGTTACATCTTAATCTATAGACCAATGCTGAGAAAACCTACTTTCTTTTTCAATTAAAAACAAAGAGATTTGTTGCGAAAGTCATAAAAGCTTGCTTAAATATAATTTTTAAAAAAAACGAGAACCAACCTTTATATATATATATATATATATATATATATATATATATATATATATATATATATATATATATATATATATATATATATATATATGTATATATATATATATGTATATATATATATATATATATATATATATATATATATATATATATATATGTATATATATATATATGTATATATATATATATATATATATATATATATATATATATATATATATATATATATATGTGTGTGTATGTGTATGTTTGTGTATGTGAGAGAGTAAAGTCATGTCTTGTATAAACCTATTTCTATAACACCATTTCTTTACATGTCGAAAATGGGAAAGCTTTACTCAAAGTACTAAAAAAGATTTCCAATATGGGAGATGGGGGAGAGGGGCTGCTAAACACACCACACAGATCAGCGCAAGCCATTTATAAAAGACACGGTCTTGCACTGATGTGCACACCATGTCTGAACAAAACAGAGCACACCATTAGCGTGCAGCAAGTGTCACGGTGTGTTTAGGGTCAGGATCCTTGAAGTGTTGAACATTGACTTACAGGGAATGTTATGGAAATCTGCACCCGTTTGACAAGTTTCTGGAGTCGTTTCCCTTTATATTTGTCAGTGCTAGGTCGCTAGGTTAGGTGTAGCTAACACAAATGTAATTAATAGACGAACGTCTAAATAAGGGTGAAACCTTTGAGTTATTTAACAAATATCTGGTTTTTATAAGCATGAAAAGAAGATAATCAAATATTTAGAGAAAGAAAGAAATGCCGTCGATTACGAAATGTAGTGCTAGGGTATGTTTAGAAATAAGATGTCTTACTCACATACAAACAGATCTAGGGAAAAACAGTTTGAGGTTCCAGAGGAACATATGTTCCTGTAATACGTATGGCCTACATAAATAAATTACAAGTTTTTACATTAACAGTTTGCTTTTAAACATTAATTTCAGTGTGGCTCCTAAATATGTATTTGTTACAGTCGTTTCAGTCAGGCTCCTAACAATTTAAACGTTTCTCTGTCAACATCTTTTTCTTTTTGTGCCCAAGACCAATGGGGCCGCCACAGAAAGCTCATTTCACTGTTGCCGGTCTCTGGCAGTTTTCTCGACAGTCCCCCAAGTTAGTTGTGCTTTTATCAGATCATTTTCGCCTGTGCGCCTTCATGTTTCCCTTGACCTTTGATGTTTTTTTTTCCAGAGGACCCTAAAAATGTGTAACTCAAAGTGGCTCCTAATAATGTGTAACTTTCAATGTAACTCCTAAAAATGTATTCGTTTCAGTGCGGCTTCTATAAATGTATTCGTTTCAGTGCGGCTCCTATAAATGTATTCGTTCCAGTGCGGCTCTTATAAATGTGTAACTTACAGTGTGGCTCCCATAGTATTCCAGTTTCAGCGTTTCAGCGTGGCTCCTTAATAATGCAAACCACAACAAACACAAAGCAATTAAAAACATAAAAACACAAAGTCCTCTTTACAAATCGGGAGTGATCTCCCCTAAACTTTCTCCTATTATCGAACATTCTTATATAGTAAACGGGGGCGGGGGGATACGAGAAGGTGAAAATGACTTGTACAGCAATCCCCGCTCGACCTGTGTGTTCAACACTGACATGCACCGACAATGTCATTAAAAAAAATTAAAAACACGCTTTAACACTGAAATGGCGATTCGCTCCTAGTTTGTTTATGTGTTCTTTTGTAGGCGCTTCGGTGACTTGCTAGCAATGGATCAACACTGGACTAATTATATGTAGCATTTTAAAATCTGAAACATCAGGATGGCGAGCTGTGTAAGTATAGATGTGTTTGTTAGATAGAAACAACAAACCAACGTATACTAATACAAGAAAACTAACGAACTGAAAAATGATACAGAGCGTTAAATACTAAAAGTAAACAAACTAATAACGTACTTGAACTAAAGTGGCTTCAGGTGCACAGGCGAACAAAATCAGTACACTAAACTATTCTTACTTATACTTACTGTATCTGCAAACATCAAATATGCCAATCTATTTTATCTGCCATCTTAAGACACGCCCGTCTAATGTATTTGCTAACATTGGACACGCCCATCTACTGTATCTGCTAACATTAGACACGCCCATAAACTGTATCTTAAATTAGACACGCCAATCTACTGTAACTGCCTACATTAGAAACGCCCATCTACATGCACGCCCATCAACTGTTTCTGCAACATTAGACACGCCCATCTTCTGTAACTGCCAACATTAGACACGCCCATCTACTGCAACTGCCAACATTAGACACGCCCATCTTCTGTAACTGCCAACATTAGACACGCCTCTCTACAGTATCGTTCAGTCTGTGCCAACACAAGGTTTATATATTGTGTTTTTTATCAGTAGACTGTTGTTTATCCTTAGCTGATGGCAGAGAGACTGACTTTCAACAATTGCTGTTGCCGATGGTGATGCCAAGAACATGAACTCGGTGTATTTCAAAGTTACTGTGGGAATAATACTTCTCTCCCTTGTCTTCATAGCCGCGGTTTTTAAGTAAGAAAACATTCTTTGTTTAAGCAAGTAATACTAAAGTACCCTTTCAAACATGACGGTCAACGATGCAGGTGAAATAGAGTACACCTGTTTCAGTTACCTCAGCACATGAAGGGATAGTGTGGTCAGTACTAGGCCCAGCCGCCTGAGTCTAGTAACAATCTTAAATTCGAACTCGAGACTTTCGGGTTAGCAGTCTTATGCTCAAAAAACGCTTTGACTTTGACAGACGCTAGCCTATGGCGAATAGAACATGCGAGCTAATGCTGATCGTTCACAAAGAAGACGTCAAAATTAACCTTGACTGACCAGAGCCTATTATGAGCTATAAATATATATAAAAACTTCCCACGTTAAACCCCCTGATGATTCCTTAGGTAGTAGAACCACCCACTGGGGTCAGAAACAAAACAATTTCACCTTCGAGAAAACTTCAGATGTCTTTAGAAGTGACCAGTCTGAATTACGAATTTTGTGAAATACGGGGCATATTGTCAAAACAATTGTTATGATACATGTTTGTGCGTGTGTATAATTGCATGTTTTTGTATTTGTATAAAGGAGGGCGTTGTCTGTGGTCGAGTGTGTATGCGTGTTTTTATGCATGTGTGCCTTTGTGTGCATGTGTCGGTTTGTTCGATTAATCCAAATTTAACATCCTACCATTGTTTTAACTACTTAAAACTTCACTATTTACAGCTTCTGGCAATACCCGATGGTTTTGATGACGTATATCTCTGCTCCAGACTGGAGAGGTCGGGAATCCCCCAACACCATTCAAGTAAACTACATGAATGTCACCACCGAACCAGACGGCGATATACTAGTTTCATGCCCATCTTGCACAAGTCTCAGGACAATTCAGTCTTTCAACACAACTTATCGGTTGACGTCATCAGTGACGCAACTCTCGACGTCATTACCGACCCAGTTCACGACGTCATCAGTGACTCGTCTCTCGACGTCATCATTGGCCCAGGTCACGACCTCTGCAGTGACCCAACCCACGTCTGCTAGCAGTACGACGCCAGCGGTCAGTGCTGCACTTAGCGACCTGCCCCTGTACGTAGTTGTGAAGGCGGGGGGTCTGAGAGGTCGACTCGGCAACCACATGTTCATCTATGCAGCTCTGCTGGGTATCGCAAGGATTCAGAACAGGACTCCGGTACTGGAGGAAGGGAAGTCGCTGGCCAAAGTTTTTAGGATCAACCACATAGAGAGGATCAACACGACTGGGTATGTCAGATTTAACTAGCCTTTTCTTTTAAATTTAACGACTAATAATTTTGTTTTTCAAAGGTTTGATTTGTATGCGAAATGTAGCTATTTTTTAAAATATTTATCGGCTAATTATTTTCCTAACCTATTTATACTACCAATGTCCGATAATAGAATCTTCTTTTTTGAAAAGGGTATTAGGTTACTGGTAGTTGACTAAAATACACACATTTGCTTGCTAGAGTCACCGCTTAGCTTATCCCTAGCCCTAATCCTAACCCAAAATTTCAAACCATAAAACTAATCGAGATTACAATACTACTTACAACCTAGCACATCTATTTTTGGAGGAGTCTATTATCAGACATCAGTATCTTTGATCATCACAGAATACACCTGTATCAATACCCGTGGGTCACTAGAGAAGATGGCATTAGAGTTGCAGCTCACTTGTCAAATGGATCCGTTTAATACTGATTTAGTTTAATGGCTATTTTCTCATACATTTGAAACAAAAAATCCAATTCTCATTTTTAATTTTTCAATATTTTTTATTATTTAATAATTTAAATCTTTTGCTTTCAGCTGGAAAAACGTAAACCATCAAAGGTTTGGCGTCTTTGACAAAACGTTCATGAACCTACCCAATGATAACGTGACAATCACAGGGTTTTTTCAGTCGTGGAAATTTTTTGTTCACGTTCAGGACGAGATTCGACGAGAGTTTACGTTCCATCCAAACATCCACGAGAAGACAACCCGTTTCTACAACAACTTACGTCAGAACAACACGGACTTGACGTTCATTGGTGTTCATGTGAGACGATCCGACTTTTTAGCTTCAGGGCATATCAAAGCGGGGTATGGTGTACCGCAGAGGTCATATTTCATGAAAGCGTTCAGCTACATGAGAGATATCCTGTCGAACAACACAATGTTTCTGGTCGCCACGGACGACATGGAATGGTGCAGGAAAAATCTCAACGACTCAGACGTGAAACTGTTAGAGCCGGACTCAGCAGAAAATCACATGAGTATTTTGTCTAGGAGCGATCACGTGATAATCTCTGGTGGAACTTTTGGCTGGTGGGCGGCGTGGTTGGCTAAAGGTTTCACGATTTACTTTAAAGGTTTCCCCATCCCAAATTCGAGACTGTCTCACGACTTAAATAGAAAGGATTTTTACCCACCTAGCTGGATAGCCTTAGATAACTAGACTCAGCTCTCTAAAAAATAAATCATTAGCATAATTTTCATGTTCCTTCTGTGTTGTATATTGTAAAAGTATTTATTAAAAAAATAATTTAATTAAACATTGTTATGGGGCTGTGTTGACAAACTTTCTAGAAATAATGCTAACAGGAAGCGAAATTTTGTCATTCTCTGATCCTATGAGTGCATAAAGACACATCACTTTGTTGTGATACTTCAACAAACGCCTTGAGAAAAGAGTAGAGACATTACCCATTTGCTGAGCACACCCAGCGTCCATCTTACAAGACAGGAAACATTGACATTAAATTTGGACGTTGACCATTCTTATCATTTCACAAAAATGTCATTCCAACGCGCAATCACCCAACCCCACCCCCAGTGAAATGTCTGAAAGAAACCCGGATTGAAATACTTGTCATCTTGGCGTTAAATAACTTTCTGTATTTGTTGATGCCAATCGGAGTGAGAAAATCCAGAGAACTTGTCTGCCGCCATGCACGTTCTATTACCCCAAACATGAAAGTCTCCAAGCTTTCAACTTTCTGTTGATAGTGCTTACATTTGTGCAAACCCCATGAACTGTTTTTTAAAGTATTAAAGCTACGGTCAGCCCGTTGTACTTGTCCAGTCCTTTCTTTACTTTTTAATCTGACAACAGCGTTACAAAAAATCTATCTTAATATACAAAAAGTCCATGCGAGTTCTTCTCTGTTTCTTACGAGGCTATGAGATCCGTATTAATTAAAGATAGTGTATTTAATATTTATATTATGTATCGAATAAAATTATCAAATAAAGATAACCTGATAACCTTATTTGTATCCACAATAAATTATAAGCCTCTTGTCATTTTGGTAGACTCACTATAGGGCTTGTAAGTCTCGGTCTCTCTCAGTTAAAATTTGGCTTTTATTTATTTATTTTGGCTTAACTACTTTCTTTGTGGATTTTAATCTAGTGCCATCTGGTGATGTTGCTAGTCGATTTACACAAGGAAGAATACAAAAAAATTCATAAAAAAAACGTTTTAATAACAAGCTTTTATGTACTAATGCACTAAAAAGTAGAAAATAAATTATACACTACTATTTAAATTACTATAAAGAAAAGCGTGGGTCACTTTAGTACTTTAGTACCTATTTTATACCTTTACGAGAAGAGACCCACGCTTTTCTTTATAGTGATTTAAATAGTAGTGTATAATTTATTTTCTACTTTTTAGTGCATCTATCTATATCTATATACTACTAAAAGTCAACTTTGTTTACATGTTTGAATATTTATTTGTTTGCCTGATCGAAAATTGTGATATGTTCGACTCTATCTGGAAAGCTGTAAAATGGTATGCAGGTAGAGAATAATTTTTTAATGCAGACAGACTGTTGATCACAAATTTATTTAAAGACGTTAATTAATTTATTGATTTATTCCTACGCAGAATAACCCATTTTTTTTTAAAATGTTAGAACCTTGACTAAACTTTGTGGGAATAGTGACGTCACAGGTTTTTGTTTACTCTTTAGTACAATAAAATGGCGGCGTCTATTGAAGAAAATTGTGTTCCCATTCAAAAGTTTAACGCGTTCTAAATCTAATTTTCTGTCGGTCATAACTTTAACAATACGTCCGTTTGCTGTATTTATTACGTTCCAACACTTATATCAATTTTCAACTGTCTTTTTCATTTAGTTTTACGATAAATTTCTCTAGATCTAAAGATCAGCTATCGAAGGAAATTTATGAATCTAGCCTAGATCTAGATCTAGCCTAGATGTAGGTCACTAGATTCAATGTAAATTCTACATCTAGAATCTATTTCAGGCCTTAATTATTTTATATAAATCTTTGTTTGGCTTATTTAAGATAAAATTTAATTTGACAGTTAGTACTACTAGACTTATTTTTAGATCTAGATCTAGAATCTATACGCGTAAATCAAGTTGCATAAGGAGACACATAGTATAGTATAAAAATTCACTTGTGACGTCACGAGTAAATAGCTAAAATGGTAGCGTAGTCAGCTCTCATGCAGGAGGCACGGGTTCTAGACCAATATGTCAATGAAATTTTTTTTTTCAATTTTTTTTTTTAGATGTGAATGATAACGTTGCCTATCTGAACTTGGCAAGATACAGGGCAGGTGAAGTAGAGTTCATCTGTTTCTTTGTCCTAAGCATATGAAAGGATAGTGTGGTCAGATACATGCTCGGCTGGAATTGTTTTTTAAACGATAAAAACATGTTGTCTGAGACTTGGCAGGACACTGGGCAGGTGAAGTAGAGTTGAGTAGGTCACCTGTGACGTCAGTTTATGAAGGGATAGTCCGAAATCGGTGTTTTCGGTGTTTTTAAAAGATAAAAAACATATATTTGAATGTGGGGTCTGTTTTTTGTGACGATAAGTGACACTGCAGTAGCGTACCGAGGAGGGGGGGGGGACGGTAGGGGAGGGGAGGCGGGGGGTGGGGAGGGGAGGCGGGGGGTGGGGAGGGGAGGCGGGGGGGGGGGAAGGGGGGGTGGGGAGGTGGAGGGGGGAAGGGGGGGGACATATGTTGGGGCGCCAAAATGGTTTGGAAAAATAAATTGATAGGTTGAGGGGGGTTCAAATCGAAAGTTTGAGTGGGGGGGGGGTGCACATCAAAAGTTTGAGGGGGGGGGGGTTCAAATCGAAAACTTTGTCCCCGGGCGCCGGGAAGGGTCGCTATGCCTCTGAGTGACAGACGTGATGTTTTTTGATGGATGACCCCCGAAACCCACAGTTATCCAACGGATGACGGGTATTCTAGTATACTACTAAAAGTCAAGTTTGTTTACATGTTTGAATATTTATTTGTTTGCCTGATCGAAAATTGTGATATGTTCGACTCTATCTGGAAAGCTGTAAAATGGTATGCAGGTAGAGAATAATTTTTTAATGCAGACAGACTGTTGATCACAAATTTATTTAAAGACGTTAATTAATTAATTGATTTATTCATATGCAGATTAACCCATTTTTTTAAAAAAGATTTGAAAAGCCACTAGACTCGACGGAAACAGTGACGTCACATGATGTGTTTATTTTTTTACATCGATAATGGCGGCCTATCGAAGAAGATTGTGTTCCCATTCCAATGTTTAACGCGTTCTAAAGCTAATTTTCTGTCGGCTTTAACTTTAACAATACGTCCGTTTGCTGTATTTATTACGTTCCAACACTTATATCAATTTTCAACTGTCTTTTTCATTTAGTTTTACAATAAATTTCTCTAGATCTAAAGATCTGCTGTCGAAGGAAAGTTATGAATCTAGATTCTAGAATCTAGCCTAGGGCCTAGATCTAGATCTAGGTCACTAGACTCAATGTAAATTCTAGATCTAGATTAATGTAAATTCTACATATAGAATCTATTTCGGGCCTTAATTATTTTATATAAATCTTTGTTTAGCTTCAATGATCATCTAATTCGAGAATACATGGGCTTTTTTTTGTTATCTACGTTCTATATCTAGATAAAGTAGGATTACTCACTAGCTTGGAGGCGTGGTCGGCTGCTAACAACAATATGGCGTACGGACCGGACGCATGTCTGCCGATCATTTTTAGGCCATGTTTACCACGAACAAAATGGCGGGTGTTCACATTATTTAAACATTGTATAGGTGGCCAGGGCTAGATATGCCAGAAAAGCATTTTAAAATTTGCTTTGGAGAATGAAGGCTAAATTTTAAAGTCAGTGTCATAAACATTAATAGAACTTTTTTTTTTTTTTACGTTTTCAATTATTTTTTCTTAAGCCCTATATGTGAATGATAAGGTTGACTATCAGGACCTCGCGGGGCACAGGGCAGGTGAAGTAGGGTTCATCTGTTTCTTTGTCCTAAGCAAATTAAGGGATAGTGTGGTCAGAGACATGCTCGGCTGGAATAGTTTTTGTTGTCTGAGACTTGGCGGGACACTGGGCAGGTGAAGTAGAGTTGAGTAGGTCACCTGTGACGTCAGTATATGAAGGGATAGTCCGAAATCGTTGTTTTCGGTGTTTTTAAAAGATAAAAAACATATTTTTGAATGTGGGGTCTGTTTTTGTGACGATAAGTGACACTGCAGTAGCGTAGCGAGGAGGGGGGGGGGGGCGGGAGGGGAGGGGAGGCGGGGGGGGGGGGGGTAGGGGAGGCGGGGGGGGGGAAGGGGGGGGGACATATGTTGGGGCGCTAAAATGGTTTGGAAAAATAAATTGAAAGGTTGAGGGGGGGGGGTTCAAATCGAAAAGTTTGTCCCCGGGCGCCGGGAAGGGTCGCTATGCCTCTGAGTGACAGACGTGATGTTTTTTGATGGATGACCCCCGAAGCCCACAGTTATCCAACGGATGACGGGTATTCTAGTATACTACTAAAAGTCAAGTTTGTTTACATGTTTGAATATTTATTTGTTTGCCTGATCGAAAATTGTGATATGTTCGACTCTATCTGGAAAGCTGTAAAATGGTATGCAGGTAGAGAATAATTTTTTAATGCAGACAGACTGTTGATCACAAATTTATTTAAAGACGTTAATTAATTAATTGATTTATTCATATGCAGATTAACCCATTTTTTTAAAAAAGATTTGAAAAGCCACTAGACTCGACGGAAACAGTGACGTCACATGATGTGTTTATTTTTTTACATCGATAATGGCGGCCTATCGAAGAAGATTGTGTTCCCATTCCAATGTTTAACGCGTTCTAAAGCTAATTTTCTGTCGGCTTTAACTTTAACAATACGTCCGTTTGCTGTATTTATTACGTTCCAACACTTATATCAATTTTCAACTGTCTTTTTCATTTAGTTTTACAATAAATTTCTCTAGGTCTAAAGATCAGCTGTCGAAGGAAAGTTATTTATAGATCTAGATCTAGAATCTAGAATCTAAAAATCTAGGTCAAATCCAAGATTTATTAGTTATAAATACAATAAAAAAAAACGAAACTTTAGCAAACCAGTCGTAGATCTAGAATATAGATAATTCTATCTAGATTTAGATAATAATGAGTTTCTATATACTAAACTATTTTAGACCTTTATTATTTTATATAAATCTTTTTTTGTATAGCTATGAAATATGCTAATTAGGAAATGCTGGATGCGGGGCCTATTTGCATAACTTAAGATTCATACGCGGCTTCTATACCGCTAAGTGTGCAAAATTATAGACGTAAACTCTAGATATAGCTCAGTCGTAGATCTAAAATATAGATAATTTTCTATCTAGATTTAGATAATAATGATTTTCTATATACTAAACTATTTTAGACCTTTATTATTTTATATAAATCTTTGTTTGGAATATGGTAATTTTGAAATGCTCGCTCCGGGCCTATAAGCGTAGCTAATGATTAGATCTAGATTCTAGGTCTAGCAAGAAAAACTAAACATAAGAAGACTTAAGCAAAAGAGTCGTAGAATCTAGACTAGATCTAGATAATTCTATCTAGATCTAGATAATTTCAGACCTTCTTTATTTTATATAAATTTTTGTTTGGCTAATTTAAGATAAAATTTAATTTGAAAGTTACTACTACTAGAGTTAGATGTAGATCTATGCGCGTAAGGAGACTCAAAGTATAGTATAAAACTTCACTTTTAATGTCACGAGTAAATAGCTAACTTGGTAGTGAGGTCGGCTCTCATGTGGGTGGCACAGGTTCTAGACCAATTCGTCAATGATTTTTTTTTCAATTTTTTTTTTTTAGATGTGAATAATAAAGTTGCCTATCTGAACTTGGCAGGATACAGGGCTGGTGAAGTAGAGTTTGTCTGTTTCTTTGTCCTAAGCATATGAAAGGATAGTGTGGTCAGAGACATGCTCGGCTGGAATCGTTTTTTAAACGATAAAAACATGTTGTCTGAGACTTGGCGGGACACTGGGCAGGTGAAGTAGAGTTGAGTAGGTCACCTATGAAGTCAGTATATGAAGGGATAGTCCGAAATCGGTGTTTTCGGTGTTTTTAAAAGATAAAAAACAAATTTTTGAAAGTGGGGTCTGTTTTTTTTGAGTGACACTGCAGTAGCGTAGCGAGGAGGGGGGGGGGGGGGCGGGAGGGGAGGCGGGGGGGGGGGGGGAAAGGGGAGGTGGAGGGGGGAAGGGGGGGGGGGGCGGGGGGACATATGTTGGGGCGCCAAAATGGTTTGGAAAAATAAATTGAAACGTTGAGGGGGGGGGGGGTTCAAATCGAAAGTTTGAGTGGGGGGGGGGTGCACATCAAAAGTTTGAGGGGGGGGAGGTTGAAAATTGAAATCTTGGGAGGGGGGGGTTAAAATCGAAAAGTTTGTCCCCGGGCGCCAGGAAGGGTCGCTATGCCTCTGAGTGACAGACGTGATGTTTTTTGATGGATGACCCCCGAAACCCACAGTTATCCAACGGATGACGGGTATTCTAGTTAGTACATAAAAGCTTGTTATTAAAACGTTTTTTTTTTATGAATTTTTTTTCAGTACTTTACATGTTTTATTTACGATAGTGTTACATGACTAAAAACCATTGCGCGCCTATTGATCGTTGGCGCAGCTATTCAACCTGATGGCGCACCTATGGAACGTGATGACGCGTGTGGTGTGGTTGGCTAGACATGCCTACTAATTCGGTCCAAATTTTAATTAATTCATAAAAAATTAATTAGGCATCGAATTAAGTAAAATTTAGTTTCAGATTGCATTGTCTTCATGTCTTGACCCACGTGCCAAATGTGAATCGTATCGGTCAAGTAGAAGTGTCCGAATTTTCACTCCTGCGTTTCTATCTAGACTGACGACAGACTGACGACTGACGACAGAGGAAGTGAGTTAAATAAAAGCTTGTAATAAACCAATGGAACTGCTAAGCATGGTACAAAAATGGAAACCAGTTTAAATATTTTTTTCGATTAAGCCAACAAAAACTTAAGCAAGAATCAATGCTATAAAAGCTTCGAATCCAGAAAACTTGAAAAACATTTTTATTTGCATCCACGGTCACAATTTCAATTTTATTTTATCAGTCTAAATTACAAACTAAAATTTTCACTTTCAGAAGACAAATATAGCTTGGTGGACAGGAACTTTGTGACTGATCTTCTGAAAACCCCAATTAGTAGTAGTTTGAATTCAAAACTTAACTGTACCATTTTTTTTTTTTAAATATAGATTTTTTTAAAACTATTCGACCTATTTCTTTAATGGTTATGGTCATATTCTATGATAAAATGAAAATAAATAGTCTTTGGCGTTTAAAAAAAATGTTTAGTTACCATAGATACCAAAAACATCATATACAAAAAAATCTTTAGTAAAGCCCGACAAAAACCTCACAATACAGTTTTTCTAACCACATTTATTTTGATAACATCCCATCCGATTTTTAAAATATTTAATAAAACATTCGAGACTAATCACGACTGCGAGCATTAAATAACTCAATTTTTTTTTAGAAATAACTAACGTCATTTACGATTAATTCTGGAAAATACTGAAACTATTAATTAATTGTAAAAAAATAATTATTTTAATTCTTAAAACAATTTTCTAATAATGCTTGTATAAGATTGTTATGCAGATGCTATTGGTGATGTCTTGTGGTTGTCAAGATTTAGAAGCTATTTTGGAGTATGATGTTTGCACAGGGTGTTAGGTGCCTGGGCAAGGCGTAGGTGGTAGTATTGTGTCGATTTTCCTTCAAAATGAGTTAATTTTGACAATATAAGTTCTTTCACATTGCAGATAAGGAGAGGGAGTGGGAATTTGAGGTGTGTGATATGAATGGGGTTCCACTTCTGATTAACGGTTGCTCTGCTAAAGTAGTTGCAGTTCCATGCTTTGGGGGAAGTGAAGAGGAGGGGGGCTCATCTAACTGTGGTCAATACCCGGGACTTTTTGGTTTAACAATCATTATCAATAGACCTTATGGTACTAATAAAATAATACCTGTTGTACAGTTGTACATTTTACAGCACAGTGAAAAAGGACTAACAAAATATAAAATATATTGGATCTCGGCGTGGTCGAGTCTGTAAAGCTCATGGTTGCTAAACCGAAAAGTCTCGAGATCGAACCCTCGGGCAGATGAGGCTCGTTAGCTGGGGACAGCCACTCTTCTAGGAGAGACAACTCCAAAATTAAACAACTGCTGCCTTGTAGTTTGTTCTTGGTTGGACAAAGGCTATGGAAGCAAATCCAAAAAGAAAAGCAGGCTGAAATCGGAGTCAATGGCCTCAATGGCGCATAACCAGTTGACACGTAACGCTTAATTGTGTTGGAGGCGTGGTCGAGTCGGCAAAAAAAAAGCTCATGGTTGATAAATTCTAACAAAGTCTCGAGTTCAAACCCACTGGCAGATAAATCTCGATCCCCTCCAACACTAATAATTAAGAACGAAGAAGAAGAAAAGAAGAGGATCTCGAAATTTGCCTTGGTATTCTATCAAGCAAGGACACCAGGCAAATGTAAAATCAGTTTATTTTGCATCAAGAATATTTCCTGAGAATAAACTTCAGCCCTTGCATAAGTTATAGCCATAGCCATAGCCATAGCCATAGCCATAGCCATAGCCATAGCCATAGCCATAGCCATAGCCATAGCCATAGCCATAGCCATAGCCATAGCCATACCTAGCACTAGCCAGGAAAGTATGTAATGAGTGATGTGACGTGGGATGACGTTGTGGGAAGAGTTAGCATAAAGAACAGCCGTCATCCAGTGTTTAAAGCGGATATATCTTTACATGCAATTTTAATTAACATTTAATTATCTAAAGCAATCCAATCTTTTGGGTAATAATCAGCTTTCTTTAAGTTTTTAATTAGCGGTGAGCCTGGAATAGGAAAACCTTTGAAATAAATCTTGAGACCTTTAGCGAGCCAAGCTGCCCACCAGCCATAAGTTCCTCCAGAGATTATCACGTGGTCGCTCGTAGACAAAATACTCATGTGATTTTCTGCTGAGTCCGGCTCTAGCAGTTTCACGTCTGAGTCGTTGAAATTTCCCTTACACCACTCCATGTCGTCACTGGCAATCAGAAATATTGTGTTGTTCGACACTACTCTCCTCATGTAGTTAAACGCATTTATGAAATATGACATCTGCGGCACAACATACCCTGCCTTTACATTCCCCTCGCTTAAAAAGTCGGATCTCCTAACATGAACACCAACAAACACTGTGTCCGTGTTATTCTGACGTAAGCTGTCGTAGAAACGGGTTGTCTTCTCGAGGATGTTTGGATGAAACGTAAACTCTCGTCGAATCTCGTCTTCAACGTGAGCAAAAAATTTCCACGACTGAAAGCAGCCGAATAAAGTGACATTGATTTTAGGCAGGTTCATAAAAGTTGGGTCAAATGTACCGTACTTTGGATGGACCATCGTTTTCCAGCTGAAAAGGAGGAACATATTCAGGAAAATGTGTTAATACTGTGTTTATTCTGTCACTACAGTATTTGCTCTTTAATCTAACAGAGAACCAAAATTGTTGAAAGTTAACTGATGTGATCCTTGTAGATGACGAAAGGAGCATATGGCGAGACTGTTACACTGTGTTTAACAAAAGAGGGGTCCACAATGGAATGTGTGTGTGTGGGGGTGTCAACAGTGGATTTAGGGGGGGGGGGTCCACAGTGAATAAAGAGTGGGTCGACAGTGGAACAAGAGAGGCGGCGATAAATGACGTTACACTCAAACGTAGGGGTGGGTTGCTCATAAATATTTTTTTTGGGTGGGGGTCCTGGAGTTTTTCGACAATGTTACCGGGGGAGGTTAAGAACGGGAAAAAAAGCGTGATGTTATTTATGGGTTTCATATTTTATGCATGTCTACTAATGATGGAAAGTCGGGGTGCTTTTTTTCAAAGTTATAGAGCACAGGGTAGTATTTGATCAACATTACATCATTATATAAATGTGGCCATATAAACAAAGTGACATGAGAAATGATTCCTTACCCAGTAGTGTTAACCCTGCCTATATGGTTTAACTGAAAGGCCTTTTCCAACAAGGTGCCGTCTACGATCAACGGAATCCTGTTCTGTGTCATGGCAATGCCCAGCATTGCGGCGTAGATAAACATTTGGTTGCCGAGTCGGCCTACAAGCGTTTCCTCTAAAGCGACCACGTACAGGGGTTCACCTTCTGTGTGGACGCCAGAGGTGGGCAACATTGTGGCTGTGGACGGAAGGGTGGTGCTCAAGGCTTGAACTGTCATGTTGTTAGTCAGCTCGCCATAACTGACTGTCGAATTCCTGACCGACAATTCGCTATCAATTGACTTCTGTTCAAAAAAGTTGAAAGCGTTTAGTGTAGTGATGCTCGCCCAGAAGCTGAAATCAAAAAAATAAAAAATAAAATCAAGATGGTATCAAACTCTAAACAACAAGATGGCATCAAACGCTCAACTTAGATCGCACTGCATCGCCTTAAAAAACATCTAACTAAAAAAATTGTCTTTGACGCTTTTCTGCAAGTACTCATTTGTAGCTGCGTAGTGGGTTGTCGAGTGCCTAAAAGGTTCAAAGGTTCTTTGTGCTGTCTACAACGGAAAACAATGTTTAAAGCGGCCTTAGATTTATACTTCATTTTCTACCACAGAAAGTCGTGTAAAATTAGACTCAACTTTTTTATATGACACTTTCTTAGATATAAAGTATTTTGAGAGAACAAGTTAGAATAGTCATTAAAACAAAAGTCTCAGCTCACTTGGACACTATGGTGATGTACACAAGGAAGCTGACCACTAGGTTCACTGCGACGAAAAAGAAAATATACTTCATGGTGCCTCGGACAGCTAAATTGCCTCTCACTGTTTAATTCGCTAAAGAAAAGAAAGAATATATATATATATATATATATATATATATATATATATATATATATATATATATATATATATATATATATATATATATATATATATATATATAAACAGACAGACAGAGAGACAGACAGACAGACAGACGGACAGACAGACAGACAGACAGACAGACAGACAGACAGACAGACAGACAGACAGACAGACAGACAGACAGACAGACAGACAGACAGACAGACAGACAGACAGACAGACAGACAGACAGACAGACAGACAGACAGACAGACAGACAGACAGACAGACAGACAGACAGACAGACAGACAGACAGACAGACAGACAGACAGACAGACAGACAGACAGACAGACAGACAGACATACAAACAGTAATTTATTAGGAACTCTTGAACTGCCCTATCTGTTATTTTATAGTAAAACATTTTAATGTTTATTCAATCATTATTTTATAATTTAATGTTAATTGTCTAAAACACATCCGTTTCAGTAGAAACAGTCACACAGGAGTACTACTCACCATGCCAGCAAGGACCATCCACTCCCTACACCATTTGATCCGCGTATTGTAAAACGACGTCAGCGCCACCACATTTTAACAAGAAGGCTTCAGCGCATTAGAGCATCTGATTCGGAAAGAAACCAGAAAAAAAGATTTATTCGATTAGGATTAAAGTATTTTACTGTTCAAATGTTTGGTTGGTGGGGAACTGCGGATCGACTTATTCAAATATGCAACTGTGTTTAGGTGTGCCAGATGCTCCAGTGTGTTTGTTTGTGAATCAAGCGGTAGGGATCTACCTTAAACTTTCTTATCCTAATCTCTCTCTCTCTCTCTCTCTGTGTTCTCTGTCTCTCTCTCATTTTCTCTGTCTCTCTCTCTATCTCTCTATCTCTCTCTCTCTCTCTCTCTCTCTCTCTCTCTCTCTCTCTGTCTGTCCGCAACAAATTTGAGGCTATATGATCAGTATCTACAGCAATATATGGATGGCTTAAAGATACGGACTTTTTAAAAAAAAATAATATGGTGGGTGTTTTAAATATATAAACTAACTAGCCATCGGCACCCGTTTCACGTGAATTATAGGCCTATATATTTTAAAATGCACTTGTTTGAGAAAAATAATTTATGAAATAGTTATTGGTCAAAACGCAATGTGCTTGATTACACGCTGAACGATATTAGCGACAAAGCAAAAATAATAACTAATTAGCTAAAAATCCGACACATTTGACATAACACAGGCACACACTGATTAAGTGACTTAAATGATTCCGTTAAAAATATGCCTATTCAATAGTCATTACGTTGTTTTTAAGTAATTTGTATTAGTTTGACCGATAAAACTGTATATATTCCATAGCGTACGTCTTGTTGAGTAGATCTATAGATCTAGATCTAAATCAAATTTGAATGAAGTAGTTCCTTTCTTTATAGTCTAAAATCGGAAGATTCACATTTAAAACAAGTTAATAAAAAGTCTAGTGACAATTTAAGCGCAATTTCCTTAATTAATGTTTTGTGACCGAACGAAAGGATATTTTTGAAAACTTTCTTCGGCAATATTGTTCTAAATTATGGCAGAAATCGATTGGTAAATGTTTCAAGTCGCTAAGTGGTCTGGTTGCCGAGATATGGGCCAAAAACTGTTTTTTCGAGGTTTTTTGGCTTTTCCGGGAAATCCAGGAAGGAATTCCGGGAATTTTTTTGACCCACAATCATCCTCAGATATTGCTTAACATATTTGCTTTTGGAACTAGTTCTCGATATGGTTCGTTGAGGAGGAGATACGACTTAAAGCTGCGGACACACATCCATCCATCCATCCATCCAGAAATAACGAATTAATAATCGCAATTGTCAGTATGGAAATTGCGCTAAAAAAAATAATTAAGATTGACTTGGTGTGTCTCGATCGCGCACCACCTGCGTAGTATTAAGTACACTATCATCTCAGCTGTTTATGCACCGTACATAACATGGAGAATGAAAGAGGTATCTAAAAAAAAAACTTAACTTACGCAAATATGCCTATTCTTTCAAATTAATTTTTGTAACCCAAATTAGCCAGTTCCATAGCTAAACACACAAAGATTTCTATAAAACAATTAAGGCCTGAAATAGTTTAAAAGATGATTTCATTTTGGAATAGATTCTAGATTTTAGCGACTTAGCGTCTACGTCTAGTTTTTGCGTAGATTTTGATCTAGATCTAGTCTAGAATCTAGATCTAGAATCTCTAGATCTAGATCTAGAATCTAGATCTAGAATCTCTAGATCTAGATCTAGAATCCAAATAGATAAAATAAATTTTATAAGTTTAGGCCGGAAAAATTGTATTGTATACATTTCATAGCGTACGTCGATCTAAATCAAATTTTAAATGAAATAGTTCATTTCTTTTTATTCTGAGGATGGAGCACAGTAAACTTAGCAGTAAAAAGAAACCGAGTTTGCACACCTTATTTTAGTCTAGTTCTCATGCTATTTTGGTGCGCGGACCTTTGACCACAGGGGGTTTGACCATAGGTGGTTTGACCACAGAGGGGCTTTGACCATAGGGGCTTTGACCATCACGGGGCCGATGGTAAAAATAATTTCTTGAATCATCATTTAATTACACATTTGCATTTTCAGGTTATTTTTTTATAATCAAATTGTAATTAGGCGTTTGTTATTAGATCTATGTATAAGTAAATCATCTTATTAAATGAATGAAAGGAAGCTACAAGTAAGAAAGGAGTATTACTATTGTAAATCTGTAATCGGTCCTCACAAGCCGATAATGAAAACTATAATACTAAAGCGAACATGCAAGGCAAACAGACGTTGTAAATTACATGTCTGAGGCGGAAAAAAATAGAATGACGTCACATGAAACAAATAGAAAGACAGCCTACGGTAAACAAATGGCTTTATTGATCGTGGGATAAAAAGTTTAACTGAAAATCAAACGTTGAAAATTATACACAATACACAATATCCAGTTACTACATTGATTTCTTCTACTGCGTTCTTAATATTTAGTGTTGAATGAAATTCTCGGAAGAAATTCCCTCCAACACAATTAAGTCAACTGGTTTGGCGCCATTGAGGCCATTGACTCCGATTTTAGCCTGCTTTTTGGATTTGCTTCCGCCAACGGTGACCTTTTCCACAAATCTGATTTATCGTTGGCAATTCCGTACATGGTAACATACAGTTAGCATTTTGATATCATCAATTTATTTCTATACCAAATCTAGAGAAGAAATGTTATTGTTTAGTTGACTTGTGGAGGATCAAATCGCGACCATCTGTTGCATGAGCAACGTTTGATTTTGGCTTACATTAGCTCCGATTCTCAAAGAAAAGCTTTGAGAAATTAGAAAACAATTTGAAATCTGATAGCTGTGGCAACTGAGCGCACTTACAATCGCAGTTTTCTTAAAAATAGTTTATTTTTAAAAGCATTATTAAATGTAATACCAATAGAAAGGACATATAACAGCTGGGTATCTGGACTACGTATAGCTATTGGAAATCTGAATTCCGTGAAGTACCGAAACATCTGAATTAAATATTGTAGTTAGTCATTTTAGATAGTAGTCGGATAGCTTAAATATATACATATAGCTTGACATATAGTGTGTATATATGAGTGTGTGTGTGTGCAGGGGCGTAGCGAGGGGGGGGGGCGGGGGTGCGGACCGCACCGGGTGACACCATTTAGGGGGGTGACACCAAGGCGAAAAATAGCAAAATATATAGAGAAAAACTCGAGGGGGGTGCAAATCGAAAGTTTGAGGGGGGGGGGGGGGGGGTTGCAAATCGAAAACTTGAGGGGAGTGCAAATCGAAAGTTTGAGGGGGGGTGCAAATCGAAAACTTGAGGGGGGGGGGGTGCAAATCGAAAGTTTGAGGGGGGGTGCAAATCGAAAATTTGAAAGTTTGTCCCTGGAAAGGGTCTCTATGCCTCTGGGGGGGTGACACCATTAAGTGCCGCACCGGGTGACACCCGACCTCGCTACGCCACTGTGTGTGTGTATGTGCGTAACTTGAGTACCGTTACAGCTAGGTTGATGAAATTTCATATATAAGTATTATATCGAATGTGTAGATCTGTATCAAATTTTCAGCGATTTCCGATGACCGGAATCGGAACTTTTTCTACTTTTAATTTTTCAAAAACCTATATTTTGAGTACTGTTTCAGATAGATAAATGACATTTCACATATAAGTAAAGATCTAACTCTCTGCCTTCTTTCAAATTTTTAGTAACTTTCGTTGACCGGAAGTAGTAGATTAGGCTATTTCGGATTTCTCCTAACATGCATGAGATTTTATAAAGTACTAATAATATTCCGCACTATTATACACATTTTATTTGGTGTTTACTTGGTATGCTATTATTTTTTCTACGAGATTCTATTCTATTTTTAAAAGTTTAAGTAATTAAAAATGGATTTAAATTATTGTCTATATCCCGAGTTGCCATCCCCCGTATTGTTATATAAGAATATTCGAGAAAGTTTAGGGGAGATCACTACCGGTTTATAAGTAATATTATACACAACTCCCCTTGTAATAACCTCATTACACTGATTTATCGTAATATCTGTATTACACCGCAATATGTAATGAACTCGTTACAACTTTCGCGTCATATCCTCTTTGTTAAAGTCATGTGTGTAAAACATGTGCATGTGTGTTGGTCGATAAAAACATGTAAAGTTGAAGTCATGCTGTCAAGCATCTATCTTCCACAACTGACAGACACACATATATATATATATATATATATATATATATATATATATATATATATATATATATATATATATATATATATATATATATATATCTATATCTATATCTATATATATATATATATATATATATATATATATATATATATATATATATATATATATATATATATATATATATATATATATATATTTATATATATATATATATATATATTTATATATATATATATATATGTATATATATATATATATATATATATATATATATATATATATATATATATAATCCCGGTGCTTAAGAAAACTAAAGGGCGGTTATAAGAATAAAATCTCTAACGGATTTTAAAATTATTTATAACCTCCCTTTAAACAAGAAAACAAACCTCCAGACTTCTGTTCATGTTATAGCAATAGTAATAAAGTAATAATAGCATTGTCAGTTTGATTTTTTTAATTTAGAATATTTTCGTTTATTTCTGGGTTGTAAACTCTACCAGTATAAAAACACTGAATTCATGTTTTATCATGATTAGGGTATCACAGTATTCGGTTATATTACATTTTTAAAATTTTTTGACCAAGTTGATAAAAAAAATCTAATTGATAAAATAATTACCAATAAATGTGAAGGTTTTAATATTTAATTTTTTTTTAAAGAAGGTTTGTTTGTGTACTGACTACATCTTTACAAGGTAAATAACAAGTTACATTCTTCATTACTAAGCGAGATAACTCGTTTGTAGTTGTGTTTTTTTTTTTACATGGTAAACAGCATCTAGCAAAACTTAAAGACCTACCCAAGATCCACCATTCACTCTTTTAACTCTCGTTACTCCTTCGCTTACACCCCTT